TAGGTTGGTGAATTCTTTATGCTAATGGTAGTATCTGGATTCAGCCTCTCCGCAGGTTCTTTCTATGTTAGGGAACTCCTACCCTGCTGGTGGCCCACTGTCTCAAAACCACGTCCAAGCAATTGGCAATTTTAACTCTATGGGATTGTTGAATGACGTAAATTCAAATGATGGATCTCCTTTTGATATCAATGATTTCCCTCAGCTAAGCAGCCGGCCCAGTTCGGCTGGAGGACCTCAAGGACAATTGGGTACTTAGAGTTTCTTCTCCTTCGAGACATTCTGTGCAAGTGCATTTATCATACAGTTCATTTAGAATACTGATAAAAAGACAATCTCAGGTTCCTTACGGAAGCAAGGGCTCAGTCCTATTGTTCAACAAAATCAGGAATTCAGCATTCAAAATGAAGATTTTCCTGCTTTACCTGGATTTAAAGGTGCTCATCTGCATGCACAAAGCTCTGTCTTAGTGGGTTGATCCAAGTGGTAGCATTCTGCACATGTTTGCTTTTACACTTTTGGCTGGGACCAGAAAAGTAAAGGCAGGTTAGGGAAGTAAAAAGAGGACATGTAGGAGACATTCCCTGATCTTTCTGTAATAAAGGAGGAGGTGAAGTAAAACTGGATGTTTTCATCACCTTCCATGTCAGACTTTTATTTCCTTAATTGGATAGAATTAGAAGGGAGTCTTATTTACTACCCTTCGGTTGTGCCAAACAACATGAAGTGGAGGATGATTACATCTCCTTGGTGAGGAGATAATGGGTAGCCTCTCCACTTGATCCTTATCTCTCCTCCCTTGAATGTTAATGTTGAATTGCAAGTTAACAGTTTCTAGCATGACAGTAGATGCTGTCAATGCACAAGCTAAAACTTCCTCTCCACTATGGTACTCTGGCTTTGTCGTGTAGCTCTTTTTTTCTCTGAGAAGGCAAGGGACGGGGGTTTTACCATGCTTTATGGCCTTTGTTAGTTATTTCTGCCTAAATTTGTAATATCAGGAACAAAAAAATAATTTGTAAATATTTCTATTTTGCTGTAAGGTATGAATGGGTTTGGGAGAGGGTGTCATCAGGGAAAGAAATGGTGGCGATAGAGAATTAGGGGGGGGGGGGGTTTCTTCCATGTTAGGAGTCTAATTATAGTATTGCCCTCATGTTTGCTAAGGTGGGAATGCTGATTATGCTATGGATCCTCACCAGAAAGAGCAACTCCATGATAATACTCTTTCGATGATGCAGCAACAACACTTCTCAGTAAGCTCAGATTTCTGAAACTCAGTGGTTATTTTTTAGAATCATAACCTTATAATAAATGCTTCAGCCTGCTGAATCTGTCCTGTATTCATCTTGATCTAACGGTGCAGATGGGAAGATCTGCTGGTTTTAACTTGGGGGGAACATACTCATCGAATCGTCCACTGCAGCAGCTGCAACATGCTCCATCTGTTAGTAGTAGTGGTGTCTCCTTTTCAAATATAAATAACCAGGATCTGCTGAGTTTACATGGTTCAGATGCCTTCCAATCATCGCGCTCCAGTTACCAGCAACAGGTGCAATACTTTTAATTTTTATGGCTTTACCTTTTTTTTTAACCCTTATTTTTTTTGGTTAACTATCGGTTCCTTTGTTTCAATCCTTTGGGGTAGAGGGACACTGGGAGAAATTATTATCTTGTCTGCCTCAAGTAAAAGATTATGTAGCCCAACTTTTTCAGACTACTTCCAAATCATTCTTTTTCCCCCTTCGTGTATAACGAGAATCGAACCCTCTCTGCTGCTGACGATCAGATTTACAATGTACTACTTCGATCCAATGCCTTGTTCTGACTATGTTTTAGCTTTTCCCTTTCTTATCTGTGTTGTGCCTGCAGAGTGCAGTCCCACCAGAAATGATCCTATCATTTTTGGGTTTGGCCCTGGGAACCCCTTCTTCTTTATGGTGGATCTTTTCTGCCTTTCAGCAATGTTTGATGCATAGAATTATACTTTATTGTATAAGGTCAAAACCCATAGTTCTGCACGACATAGTTTCCAACGAAAGATTTTGTTTGCAAAGAAGATTTTTTGAACATGTATTTGCCTTCTATCTTCTTAATTCTTTTTTTTTGTGTGTGTGTGGATACGGGATTGGTCCAGTGTTAGATGTTCTTCTTCCTGAGTGCTTTCCCTACTTGACCCAGCTGATTTGACAGTCGGAGGTTTGATTTTGGTACAAGTTTCTATTGGTCGGCAATATAGCAGAAATCTGCCCTCCTTATTGCCAGGTGAAAGAAAGAAAAAACGTACATTGGAAACTATAGTTTTGATGTGGACAAGCTAGTGGTTCAACAAGTCTAAATTCCCGGTGTGTTGTAGAGGCTGCATTTATTCAGTTTTAAAGGACGCTAACATTTTTTTCCTCTATGGATTCAGGGTGGTGGACCTCCTGGTATTGGGTTACGACCTCTTAACTCTTCAGGTACTGTTTCTGGGATTGGATCATATGATCAGCTTATCCAGCAGTACCAACAGCATCAGGGTCAATCCCAATTTCGGTTGCAGCAAATGTCCACTTTAGGTCAGCCATTCAAAGATCAGAGCTTAAAGTCCATGCAATCCCAAGTTGCTCCTGACCCGTTTGGTATGCTTGGTTTGCTAAGTGTAATACGGATGAGCGATCCGGATTTGACTTCTCTTGCACTTGGAATTGATCTAACAACACTTGGATTAAATTTGAACTCTGCTGAAAATTTGTACAAGACATTTGGTTCCCCATGGTCTGATGAGCCTGCTAAGGGGGATCCAGAGTTTACAGTACCCCAATGTTATTATGCGAAGCAACCGCCACCTTTAAATGTGAGCTGCCTTTGTATTCTTGTTTTTCTGTATCTGACCTATTTGATATATTGAATATTTTTCTATTTTGGCCGCAGCAAGCGTACTTCTCAAAGTTTCAGCTAGATACTTTGTTCTACATTTTTTACAGGCAAGTCTTTTGGTGATCTGGCCGATGTTCCTTGATTGTAAAATTCCAATGCAATAATAACAGGATCTGTTGTTTTTTGCAGCATGCCAAAAGATGAAGCACAGCTATATGCTGCAAATGAACTGTATGTTCTCTCATTGTTACTGATTTGGATGTTCTAGGTCATATTTTCTTCTATTGTATTCCCAAGAGCTATTTTGTCAGCTATTGCTATGTTAGGATGTTCGTCTTGCTGCATAGTTGACCTTCTGGATGTGTGATGTGCTAAGCGCGTAGTTGAAGTTTGGTTAATAGCAGGCTGCATTTTCTGTGTGTAGGTACAACCGCGGCTGGTTCTATCACAGAGAACATCGGTTGTGGTTTATGCGGGTTGCCAACATGGAGCCTCTCGTCAAGACGAATGCATATGAGAGAGGGTCTTACATTTGTTTTGATCCAAACACATGGGAGACGATCCGCAAGGTATGGATATTATTACGCAGCGTTAAATTCGTATTATTAGTTGTGTTCGTCACATTCCAAGGCGCTTCAGTTTTTACGAGGTTTCTAATGTTCTGATTTATCTGCAACTTTGATGCAGGATAATTTTGTGCTCCACTATGAAATGTTGGAAAAAAGACCTGTTCTGCCTCAACACTAACTTGGTGGTGCAGTTTATAAGTGTACATTTTCAACATATTCCTTTTTTCTAGGAGCCAGGTAGTTCACCTGTAGTTTCTGCTCAATGCAGTGGTTGGCAGCAATTGTTAAAATTAGAGTTGTCTTAGTCATTGGTGATTTGCTTCTTGTATCTGTTAGATGTTGCAAGTCACAGATGTTTTCTCAAAATCTCATGGTGGAAATGCCATCTTTAAGACACTGTTAATAGAATATTAATGGAGTATTGAAAAAAGACATTGATTTCATGCAAAAGCTGGCTCATTCCTCAGGCGAGTGCATAGTTGACTTTCTGCAGGTTCTAATTATGGACTCTTTTTGGCCGTCATCTGGGAAAAAAATTCTGGCGCTTGAGTGCTATTTTTGCTAAGCTTTAATCAAGTTCAAAAAGTTCTTTCCCAGGGCTAATTCTTTATTTATAAGGTTGTACTTTCATTAAAGGAAGGGCCAAAAACGTGCTCGTATGCAGGAAGTATTCTTTCCCAGGACTCCATATCAGCAAAGTGTAAATTCAGAACGGACGCATGGAAGATGAAATATTTCATCATCATTTCTATTGCTATGAGATGTAGAGTTTCCTGCTGCAGTAGTTGAAATCTGTATCTGAGTAGGGCCTAGTACTTTTCCCATTGATATAGTGGAACTTATATAGTGCATTGAAATCCATCATTCTTCAGGTTCAACTCCAACCTTGTACCATAAATCTTCGAAACTTCCAATAAAAGAATTTGAAGGGTTCTACTTAGATATATGCATGACAAATCTGTTAACAAATCTTTTATTCAAGAAATGGATACATTCTATCAGGTCTTACAACATGAGCTCTTCTTTGGACAGGAATCTAAACTTTAGTGATTCTATACACTTATTTACGTATTGAACTGTTGTCGTATAAGACAATGGTAAGAATGAACAATGTCGTGTTTTTACAAGAGAATTGCCAGAATTCAGATTGTGCATCTATCAAAGTCAATAGCGTAAAATAACTTCTCCCAAGCATCAGCAAACAATGGAAGAGGGAGGGAGTGTAATTTCTCCTGGTTATCTGCACGGTTAATTGAGAATTGAATTGATAATATATTTTATATGATTCCTTTAGTTCGATTCTCTTTTCTTCTAAAAAATAAGAAAAAAACATCTGCAAGTCGGTTCTTCCGGAGGAACAAGTGGAACAACTATAAATACACGAACCGAATTTCATCCAAGTATGGGAGTCCTATTTAGAATATTAGTTTGCATATTCTTTGTTTAATTTAATTGCCTGGTTTTCCAGATCTTACCAGAAGCCATTGACTAATCAAATTCAACTCTCACTAATTATATGAAATATATCATTCTAAAAAAAAAAAACTATATGAAATATACGGAACATTCATATAAATGACCAAAATTACTATGGAATTGATGTGAAGACAATAAGTTGATTGCTTTATAGTATATATTTTGTGCCAAGTTGGTATAAAACAGATATACAATATCTATTTGTACAAGTCACCAACTACGCAAAAGCTGAAGTCTTTGACAAAGACTAACTTCCTTAGGAAATCTCTTATAGCTGTTTGATGTGTAGCAACTCCTCTTAACTCTGGTTATGATAGAAGAAACCATTGAAGAGAAGAAAGATGAATGCTTCCATCTTGTGTTGAAAATATTCCCTGAAGTTTAATCTATCCAAGTCATGTCTGTGACTGTGAGGTACTAAGCACTAAGCCCTTCAATGCAGGCATCAATTCCTCTAAGAGCTCCCTTTTGGTCAAAATTCTGTCAAATGAACAATCTTCCTCCTATAGAGAAGATTAGGCAAAATGAGTTAATGCTTACTTGTACAGCGCAATTAGTGTTAGTAAAAAAAAGGTCATTTCTCAAGGGATGAAATAACTCACATTGCCGGTAGCAGCAGACATTAGAGCCAACAGGCTCACTGTTCCACTCTGGTATTCAACCAAGGTCTTGAATGCCGAGTCATCCAGTTTATCCTGAAAAGTAGTAATGATGTTAAAATTAGTTTACTACTGATGCAGGCTAAATATCAGAGCAATAAAATCTTATTAATCTAGGCTATCTTTAAGCTAATTTACTGATGCAGGCTAAATTCATCAGAGGAATAAAACCTTATTAATCTAAGCTCTCTTTAAGCTTGGATGGCATGAAGCAAATGCAGATAGATTTGCAATTAAGAGTGAACAAATATTACCAGCTTTCTCTAATCCACCTTATGTCTTACTTTAATGAAGACAAGATTTATGCAGTGTAACTTATGTGCAATAGCATCAAGGGTCTTCTCATAGCATAAGGACTGTACCTTTAACCGAGCGACAGCAGCTGAAATGGCCCTACCAGGAGCCTGAAGAGCTTTTCCATGAACCTGTGTATCACAAGGAGTAAAGATCGAGAGAGAGAGAGAGAGAGAGAGAGAGAGAGAGAGAGAGAGAGAGAGAGAGAGAGAGAGAGTTCTCNAGAGAGAGAGAGATGAAGCAAAGATCAAGATATATACACCACACACATGGAGAAAGAGAGGGGCGGGTCGGAGAAGGAGATGGTTAAGGCTGACCTGTGCATAAAGCAGAGATATAACTTGTGGTAAAAGAGAAACTGGATCCATTTCAGCAGAAACTTGAGATGTCAAATCCTGTAACCAAAAGAAAACGATAATTCTTTATAATTCATTAATTATTTAAAGCATTCCAAAGTCCTCTAAGTAAGAAGTCAAAAGAAGACTGGAAACTCCAGCCTTGCATATTTGTGTTCAAGAGGAAAAAGCTTATAAACAACCACATTCAATGGGGAAATTCATCAACCCTCATAGTCCACCTCATGTAAAACTGAGTGGTACCTTGCGATACGAGTGCAGAAGAGTTCTTTCCAATTTCTTGTCAAGCTTCTTCAAAGTTAATCCACTGCAAATATTACAGACCAAATATCATTCTAGTTGTTCACTATAGGGGCAAACTAAGCGCCTTGTGGGAGGTAGAAGAATACGCAATACCTTTCCTCCGCAACTTCTCTCAGTGCAGACATAAATGATTCCACCCGCTGTCAATTGTAAGATCTAAGTTACTAAAGACTCCAGAATGTAAGAAAATGCAACAAAGATAATGAGCATTCCTAGCAAATGNAGACTCCAGAATGTAAGAAAATGCAACAAAGATAATGAGCAATCCTAGCAAATGAGAGCATTATTATTGTATAAAGTGAAGGTAGTATACTTTTGAGACAAGCAAATGCTTGTAAGAAACAGAAGCAAGTACCACATTGACTTCAGTAGTGGAAATAACTGGTCAGAAAATTTACAAATTATTTCCTTCTTTTGGAGAGAACTCGGAGAATCCATGCCGGGTAAAGAGTAATTGTTTCGCATTGAAGCCTTAAATAGAAATGTGGTTTGGAAGAGAAGTGTAAGCAAAGCATTGTGGTGGTGTGGTTGAGGGAGCATAGCAATTGCAATGGATGCCTTTTTTTTG